TAAAAAAGAGCTAAGATCTTTCATTGGAACAATTTCATACTATAGAAAATTCATACCAAAGTTTGCTAACATTTGTGCTCCCATGAATGAGCTACTGAAAAAGAATTCAAGTAATAAACTGAATTGGAATAATGAACAAGTTTCTAGCTTTCTTGAGTTAAAATCCAAGCTCTCAGATAAACCAATCTTGTGTCTTCCTGACTATTCGAAGACATTTTTCTTACGTTGTGATGCTTCTGAGAATGGCATTGGGGCGGCATTGCTTCAGGAACATAATGGAACAAAGATGCCTATAGCTTATGCTAGCCGAAAGCTACTAGATAGGGAAAAGAACTTTGCAACTATTGAAAAGGAATGTTTGTCAATCGTTTGGGCTATAAACAAGTTTAAAACTTACATCTATGGTAAGGAATTTGTACTAGAAACTGACCAACAGCCCTTGGTATATCTCAGAAACATGAGAAATTCAAATGGAAAATTAATGAGATGGGCTCTAGCATTGCAAGGTTATTCATATAGAATACAATATATAAAAGGTAAAGAAAATGTAGGTGCGGACGTTCTGAGCCGCTGTGTTAAGTAAATGTGTTATATGAATGACATAAAATCATTAGATTTTATGCTTGGTTATGGGGCATTGTAAAGGGATTATATAATACATTTACCTTGTATAAAACAATTTGTATATATAGTGATATCAGGGTTATCGTAAGAAGACGTTATTAACCCTATTCTAAAATACTCATTTAATGTTAAATATTAATACACATTAATTATGTATAATTAGTTTATTTTTTTTGTTTTTGTATAAAAGTTAGTTCCTCGTAACCCCCTTACTGTAATGCGCATGCGCGTAGGTGTGCCTCACCTGGTTTTTCTTTTTCATGTAAGCGGTCACTTTGCCATACCACTTGCTCGAGTGAACACTGTGACCCTCGCCTCTTATTTTATGATATACATGGCTTTGCTGACGCCAGGCGCCACGATATTTTGCCACACGTGCCCCCGAGGTTAATCGGAGCAGCGCCAAGCTTGAACAAGCCCCGTGACACCTGGGCCGTTTGACACGCTTTGCTTGGGACGTGGACATATACATTGTTTATTTTCGTTTGTTTATAATTGTAAATATATGGTGATGGTTATATCTTCTTTTTATACCCCCTTTTTAATGAAAGTGATAAGATGATTAAGTGATGTGATGAATCCAATGACGAAATGACACCATATTAACAAAAGATCCTTTACAATATATATATATATATATATATATATATATATATATATATATATATATATATACACTTTGAATTACGAACAGGTGTGGTTTCTCCTACGCCTGTTTGATATTATAAAACTCATACAGAACAAGTGTTATTATCCTGACGCAGGGGAATAACAAAATATCGTTGAATGTTTGGATAATGTTTAGATAATGCCAGAGATTACAGAAAAAAAAAACATAGACGTTAGACGTCTAAAATTGCGAATATAAAAAGGATTAGATAACATGGATGTATATTTTCTGGAGATCCAGATGAAAATAAAATATTCTTTTTCCTTCTTTTCTATTTATGAGATACAGCACATCTGCGCCACATGAGAAAACTTAAAACTTCAATGCCTTACTTATCGAAGTTAACGTAAACTCATATGGGTAACGTGCTTATTCTATTTCATAATTCAGGATGATGAACTAGGGTAGTGTAAATGTCTGATGAAAGTTAAAAAGAGAAAGAAAAAACGTGAATTGCACAATTGTAATCATATTGAACAAATTAGATGTGAAGTGATGATATAGATTTTACACTCAGAATTAGACATATTATAAACATTAATTCAGAATTACTTACAAATCTTATATACTTCAAGAGATTAAAAAAAAAAAAAAAAAGTATTAGGCATTAAACTATCAATGTAAGCTTATATTAATAGAGATACTCTGATTTTCTCTTGAAAAAGATAAGCTTTATGTATGACATCCGAAATATGGATGGCATCCGAACATTTCGAAACTGAGTATATCCATTCATTGTGTAAGATTATTTATGAAATAAAATACTATGTTACTATATTTTGATTTAACTGTTGTTCTCTCCTCTCCCTCGCCTCCTCCTATTTTCTTCTCCCTCTCCCTTTTCTTCCTCCCTTCCTTCTTTTTTTCCTTTCTCTCCTCCTCTTCTCCCTATTTATAGTCCTTTCTTTCTTTCTCCTCTTCTCCCTCTCCTTCTTCCTCCCTTTCTCCCTCTTTTTCTTCCTCCTTCTCTCCTTCTTTTTCTTCATTTCCCTTCTCCCTCTCCCCCTTCCTCCCCTTATCCTCTTGTTCTTCCTCCTCTTTTCCCTCTCCTTTCTCCCTCTTTTTCTTCCTCATCGTCTCTCTCTCCTTCTTCTTTCCCTTATCCCCCTTTTTCTTCCTCCTTCTCTCCTTTTTTCTTGCTTCCCCTTCTCCCTCTCCTCCTTCTTTTTCCTCCTACCTCTCTCCTTCTTTTCCTTCCTTCCACTCTCCCTCTTTTTCTTCCACCTCTTCTCCCTCTCCTTCTTCCCCCCCTTATCTCTCTTTCTTTTTCCTCCCTCTCTCCTTTTTCTAACCCTCTCTCTCCTTCTTTTTCTTCATTCCCCTCTGCCTCTTTTTCTTCCTTTCCTCTTTCCTCCCCTTATCCCTCTTTTTTCTTCCTACCTCTCTCCTTCTTTTTCTTCCTTTCCCTCACCCTCTTTTTCTTCCTCACTTATTCACCCATTTTCCTTCTCCTCTTTCTGTTTTTTTTCCTTACTCCTATTTTCTCCTAGTCCTTCTGCTCCCCTTCTTCCTCTTCCTCCTTTCCTATCCCCCATCTTCCTCATCATATCACTCTTCTCCTTCCTCCTCTTCCTCCCCATCTCCCTCCTCCTCTTTCTTCTCTTCTTCCTCCTTCGTTTCTTTCTCGTCCTCCCCCTCTTTCTTCTCCCTTCTCCCTATTCCTCCCCCCCTTTCTCTTAACCTTATTCCTCTTCCTCCTCCTCCTCTTCTTCTTCGTCTTATTCTTTCTTCTCTTCCATCTCTGATTCTCCATCTTTCGGTATTTGTCATCAACTAATTTTATCGATTTACTTTTACTAAGATAATAATAATGATGATGATAATAATAATGATAATCATTATTATTATCATTATTATTATTTAATTCATTAATTTATCTTTAAGAATAATTCACAAAATAGGGCAGTGATTCACTTAATGGCGTTGTTAGTGGTGGTGATGTCTGTGGTGGTGGCGATGTTGGTGATGTTGATGCACTTGGTGGCTGTGGTGGTGATGTCTGTGGTGGTGATGTTGATGCACTTGGTGGTTGTGGTGGTGATGTCTGTGGTGGTGATGTTGATGCACTTGGTGGCTGTGGTGGTGATGTATGTGGTGGTGATGTTGATGCACTTGGTGGCTGTGGTGGTGATGCTGGTGGCTGTGGTGGTGATGTTGGTGCCTTTGGTGACTGCAGTGGTGATGCCTGTAGTGATAGCGGCCGTGGTGGTGATGTTGTTGGCTGTGGTGGTGAGGTTAATGCACTTGGCTGTGATGGTGCCTGTAGTAGTAGTGGCCGTGGTGATGATGTTGATGTACTTGGTGGCTGTGGTGATGATGTCTGTGGTGGTGATGGTGATGTTGACATGCTTGGTGGTGGTGTGCATGTGGTGGTGGTGGCCGTTATGGTGAAGTTGATGTATCCGGTGGCTGTTTGGTGATGCCTGTGGTGGTGGCCGTGGTAATGTTGGTGGTGATGGGGCTGGTGGTATTGATGCCCGTAGTGATGATGGTGATGCCCGTAGTAATGTTAGTGTTGATGTCCGTAGTGGTGTTGAGGGTGCAGCGGATAAAGGTGGCCATGGTGGTGTGGGAGAAAAATAACAGTAAATAGTTTAATAATTTCCGTGCTCAGCAATGCATAGGGTAAAGGTGTGCATGACTTATTAAACATTCACGTGTTTATGAATGGTCCAAATGTCTATAATTTTCAAACTATGAAAATGGATCCCTTTGCTTTTCCTCATTTTCCTCCTTCCCTTTCCCTCTCCTTCCTCCTTTTCTTCGTTCCTCTTCTTCTTCCTTCTCGTTCCCTTCTTTTTCCTCCTCCCTTTCTCATTCTTCTTTCTACTTCTCTTCTCCCTATTCTTCATCTTGCTCCATTTCTTCCCCTCTTCCTCCTTTTTTTTTCTTTTTCTTTTCTTATTCTTCCCCTTCCCTTTCTGCTTTCTCCTTTTCTTAACATTTGAAGCAGAAAAGGTGCCATTTTCTTGCTTTTTTGTGATAATTCTGGTAGCTTTGAGATTCATTATTAGATTCAGTGAAATAAAACGAAATTCGGTAATTCGGAAATGTATTTAAATGAATTTCGGTCTAATTGATATACAGAGGTAGAAATAGAGGAAATAATGAAAGGGTGAATTGCTTCTTGTGTTGAATATATATTCATATTAAAATCGAAAAAAAACTTGCAAAACTCCTTCTCTCGCAGTTCAAAGTTAACTTTTTTTTATAGCTAAACATATCAGTAATACTGCAACATATAACTTTAAACTGAGGTATATAACGTAATGAATAGAGAAAGGAAAAGAACTTGGTCATTCATCCGGAATTACTTGAAATATGTTTTTAGAAGAGATTTTTATTCTTATTTTAGTTTTATCTTGTAGTGTACATTAAACCACAGTGTTTGTCAGTAAATAACTACGAGGGATTGGAGATAAGTCAATAACTCCGTAATCCACTATTGTTTATATTCGTTTTCCGAGAATTTCATACAATCCCAACTTATTCTGGTGAGTTGGATTTTGAAATTCTTTCTGGTAAAATTCATCTTCATTTTCGCCTTTAAAAATGTATTATATATTAAAAAGAAAGATATTAAAGCCAAAGAATATAAAGAAAATCGAGGTGTGTCATAATTTTACAATACTGATTAGCCTCCTTGCTTTATATTCAGTGAACACCAACGTCAGATTCGCTTGATAAGCGACGGAAAGCTATTCATTCGCAGTTGAATGTGGACGAAGCAGGGAATCGTGTGTTTGTGTCGGTAACTTGATTAATTTACGTCAGATGATACAGTGTATGCATAGAATTACTATTATATCGTGTTGGAAGTTAGTAATTCGTAATTTTTAGTTTTTTTTTAACGTGACAGGCTGCTGTGGTAAAAATGGAGTTTATGGAGGAAGGAATTGGTTCTGTTGCATCACTGTAATATTTATTGGGATTTATTTTACTGCATTATGAATCATAACACATTTTCTTTCGGTAACTCACAACAAGGCTCCCGTCTCCATTGCATGCGAATATCTTAATTGACTGCCTATAGCACATGAACTTTTCACCTGGATGGCCTGCATTCGGGCCTAGCTCAGGGCAAGAGGATGCTACCATACTTGCACTGGCTTTTCACTGTGTTGCATATTGTTAACCTCTCTGTATGTCCATCCATCCATCCATCCATGCTTCGCTTCTCTCTTTTCTCTTTTTCCTTGTGTGCGTGTTTTTGTGTATATATGTGCTATATCACTGTAAGTGAATTAATTTTCTGATTTTTTTTTTTATTGAATTACCCTCTGCCAGTGTTACTTTAGAGGAGGTTCTCAAAACACAAAGGGGAGGGTATAGGGCATTGACCCCTGAATATCACATACTTAGTCCTATATTACTCTTATTATTACCCCTCAGTTTCAATAGCACAAATCATACCATCTC